CCGAGGGCAGAACTGAAAAATGCAGTATTTGAAAGTGGCGCCCGAATTGCAGCATGGCGCCAGTTGTCCAAAATCCTACGGTACCAAAGGAGGGGTTTGGAAAAAGGGTGCCAGGCCGAAAACGGGATGCAGCCGAAACAGCAAAAGATAGACCAGGGACCGAGCCCTGGCGAAGTCCGTAACAGTGGTGGTAAGAGGACCATGAATACCTGCTTCGTTGATGATCCAAGGATTGCAGAGCACGTGTTGTCTGAGTACTTCTTGTTTGTTTCTTGGTCAGCTCTTAGGTAACTTTAGCCGGAATGAATGCTGAAAATTTGTCACAATCTGCAGTTCTTCTAAGCCAACAGCTTCTGAAGAAGAAGACGAAGAAGAAGAAGAAGAAGAAGAAGAAGAAGAAGAAGAACTACGTAGATCAGTTGCCCTCCCCTTTCCTTGATTGTCACCTCAATCTCCCCTCCAAATCTACTCTCCCACTCTTATTTGACCCCCTCCTCCTTTCACCTTCCCTTGTGTTCTTGCAATCCCTTGAGCCCCTTCATTCCAACATGTTGAGTCTGATGATCCTCGAGGGCATACTCACACTACGTAGGACTTTTCCGACTCTGATCATTATAAAGGGCAGACTAATCACTCGAGGACTTTTTTCTACAAAGATTTGGACGTGATCGCTGTCAGATTCACCCGGGTTTATCCCTACTTGCAGTCAGATGCATTCAGGAAAGTGCTAGTGGAGTATGCCCTAATGTATTCCTTGCCTGCTTTCTTGTTCTCAGGCTATCTTGTTTTACACCCACTGATTCTTCCTACTCAGTTCTCACATTCAGAAATTGTCATGACGATCTCTGCAGGGCGCAAGGCAACTGTCTTCTGCAAACAGCTGGAGGGCCGGGTCAGAGGGATGCGGCAGCTTGCAATACTCATTATCAAAGTCTTGTTGATGGTAAGAATCTGATCTTACCTGTAACCATAGTAAAGTGCTTCGGTGTGTCCCTTCTCTGCGTTTTTTTTGTATCTGTGAGAGTATGTCGCATGTTGGTGTGCACTCCACACATTTCAAAGGTGCTTGCATGTCCAGCTCACATCCAAGTCCATGGTGCAACGCCACGTAGAAAATCCGAAGGGGTTCAACGTCAGGTGGAAAATGGGGTTTGAACTCCGGAGGGGTTCAACGAAAATGGGGTTTGAACTCCGAAGGGGTTCAAAGAAAATGGGGTTTGAACTCCAAAAGGGTTCAACGAAAATGGGGTTTGAACTCCGAAGGGGTTCAATGAAAATGGGGTTTGAACTCCGAAGTGCTATCAGACTCAACTCTGGACTTGCTCACAACATGCACACTTGAGAACCGATGGCAAAACTGAACTCTTTCAACTCAAAAAACAACAATGAACTTGTCTTAAACTCAATCTTAACAGCTGCACAACTTGCGGCTATGGCCGCCGAACACTGTCTCTACCACCAGCCTCACTCTCTCCCTCACTGTCTCATGYGTGCAYGTACAAGGATCACCCTGAATGTCCCCACTCAGCACAGTCTCACACACTCTGAACACTTGTCTTCACCAACAGCTGGGCGGCTATGGCCGTCGTCGTCTTCCTCCTGCTGGCTATGGCCGCCGACATCTACCCCACTGGCCAGCTATGGCGGCTGTCTTCTTCACTGCCCACTTCGTCTCCAGGCACCTGCAGACCTCCATGCACCAGACACCAAGGCAGCTCTTCCGCATGGCTCACAGGCGAATGAATGAATGGCTGGACGCTGCCTGTTTATTTATACTTCTTCGGAGGCACCCGGACCCTGCCTCCAGACCTGTGGGCCTGGGCCAAAACGTGTGGCCCAGGGAAGCTTCCAGACGTTTGGCCTTCTGGGCCAAAACGTCTGCATGCTCCAGAACCTTCCCCACGTGCAGCCCTTACCCAGGTACATGCTGGCTGGACCCCCCTACAGAACCCATCGGACTTCTAGAACTTAAGACTCTACAGACTTTAGACAAACTCAGTAGAGACTTCTAGAACAGGCTTTCTAGGCCTATTGGTAACTGACCTAGCTGCTAATCTACAGACCTAGGGATCAAGTCTTACTGACCAAACTACAGACTATCCTAAGCCGCAGGACAGGTTTGGGGATCGAATCCTACTCAGGTCACGGGGTCTATGTACAGGTACAGGGTAGGTCTAGGGATCGAATCTCACTCAGCACACAGGGTCAATGTACAGGGTTAGGGCACAGGTCTAGGGATCGAATCTTTGTGACTGCAGTACCAGGTCAACTGGGTGAAACCGTTTCAGAAGGGGTTCAACGAAAATGGGGTTTGAACTCCAAAGGGGTTCAACTCCAGGCAGAAAATCCGTGTGCCCGGCCCAACCAAAGTGTTGCCCAGACACACAGCCAAATGCCTGGCTGGGCATGACCTCAGGGTCGGGTTCTTGGTAGAGCCAGCACCAAAAAAAAATAAAAAATGACTTGCAAACATTTATCAAAGTGGGAATTCTGTAGAATTGCAATGCAATTATGCAAATGACTTGTTTTTTYCTAATAAGACTATCGTTYACTATGATAATATAAATGAGGTYGTGGTCCTCGCAATKTGCCTGGAAAAAGCRCYGGGGGAAACTACCCAGGTTCAATTAGGTTGGAAAGCAGGTCCAGTTTCCCATAATTATTGACTGAAGTGGAATATCCACTAAATAATTGAATATGTGACAGAAGGCACGAAACTTTGGGGACATCTTCGGTTGAAAGYCTGAAGGCTTTGACCAACACCCGAAGATGTCCCCTAATCAGAGTAGTACAGCTATAGTCTCAGAAAAACACAATCAGAGGCAGAGCAAAACAGACACAGAAAACCCTTTTACAGTATGCACTCTGCAGTCTAACAAAATAAATACAAGTGAGGGCACACTCACACTACCACGTATTTTTGCAAAATCGCAAATTTTATGTAGTTTTTCGGGTCACAAGAGGCACGTATTTTCCGTGTTCACACAAAAGGGCACGTAAATGTCAGCGGCCTGGACAGCCGCCGGCTTACATATTTTGTGGGGACCTCCAGAGGTCCCCGCAAAATCGTACTTCTTTTTCCTCTACTGCTTTCTGGAAGCAAACAAAAAAAAAAAAAGTCCATTGTGCTGTCTGACTGCAGACAACGTATTTTCGCATCTCAAGGCCAGGTTGCGACCCTGTCTTTTCTGCTTTGGACAACAAACGGGTGAGCAGTGTGACCCGCAGGTGCCATATAAACGCAAATTCACAAACGTAAAATTTGCGGAAGTAGGTGCTAGTGTGAGTATGCCCTGAGATGGAGCAGGCCTACGTTCTTCACCCGAAAATAACGTCCGGGCATTGTAAATGAATATAACATCCGGCAGGCGTTATATTCGTTTATAATGCCCTGAAACGGTTTTCACCTAGTACGGTAGCAGATGCAGTACCCAGGGCTCGATCCCCAGATCTCTCCCTTACCCCTACAATACCCGTTGACCCGTGTCTGTTTGAACCCTCGACCTGTGTCCTAAAAGTCGTATGTTGTTGTATAAAGTGCGGTCGTCGGGGTTTGATCTTTAGGACTTAGTTTTAGTGGTTGTAGGATCAGCATAGGTCGTAGCTGCTACAGTTCCGAAAGGTCAAGTCCACGACCTTCCGGAATTTCTAGAACTGGCTGTTGCAGGTAGTAGGGGTCAGTCAGCAGCTGAGTCAGCGAGGGGCAGTCCTAGTACAGTCAGCAAAGGGCACTCCCAGTCCTACCTACCCTAGTCAGCGGTACCCAGTCCCAGGTTGCACTTTGTCTAGCCAGCAAGTACCATGTGGGACTGTGTGCACCCTGGGCCCAGGGTCCAAGGGCAGACCTACGACAATCCGAAGTATAAATAAAGAGGCAGCGTCAAGTCATTCATTCATTCTGCCTGTGAGCCGTGCAGAAGCGCTGTGTGTGCGTCTTGTGCTAAGGAGGTCTGCAGGTGCCCGGAGAGGAAGAGGGCTAAGAGGAGGAAGATGCGGCCATAGCCGCCAGTTAGTGATAGGAGGTAGACGGCAGCCATAACTGCCAGGTAGGAGGTTAGTGTGTGTGCGTGTTCAGAGTGTGCGAGTGTGTGTGCGCGGGACATCCAGGGTGATCCTAGTATCAGCGTGTGTGCGCGGATAAGTTGCTGGAGGATACAGTTTATCGAGTGAGAATCTTTGTCTGGCGCCCAGCGCCATAGCATTTTCAATACAAGTTTGAATCTGAGCTGGGTTCCTGGCCTCGTTTATCTCTGAGCTTTGTCTGGGCGCCATGCGCCAGTTTGATCATCATCTGTTTGTATGCTTGCCGAAGCAGGTTTGACACAAGTCTGATTGCAGCCCGGGCGTTATATTTGTTTATAATCGGCCCGGCCGTTATTTTCGGGTGAAGATGGTAGTCCAGCTCTGTTGCCCATTCTCTTCTGGACATCCCGAGAAAACCAGCCTCCCTTTCTGGTCTGGGATTGCCCAGCAGTGTCCTTGTTTTTCTTGTGGTTTCGGATTTTGACATGCAGGTTTTGAACCCATTTATCATCGGGCCTAGTCCGTGACCTGAGTCAGCGCCGCCGTCTTCACCCGAATAGAATGCCCTGTCCTAATCGCTGCATCTGGACTGAAACTTGACTCAGATACAGCTATAATGACCGGGTGTTCTATTCGGGTGACGACAGTAATACCGGGATACGAAGTTCGCGACTGGCCTGACGGTGCTATTTTGGGCTGTTTTGGACAAGTGTGGTGTCAAGTGTTGAGGGTTAAAGCGAGCAGTAAGGGCGATATTCACTTTATAGGTCGGCAGGAATAGATTTTGTTTGTAGGGGTTAGTGTGAACAACTGGACTCCTTCGTTTTGAGTCTCTTTGCCTTGGTTGTAATGATTACTGTGGGCCGCACTATTGCTTCGGAACAAATGTAGCTGTGCAGGTAATCGAATGGCCAGAGACGTGATGCGTGAGTCGAGGACGGGTTGGAGGATCTTGGGTGTGTCGTTCCGGCGGTGTCCTATTGAAAATTTTTTTACTCTTTACGTTGTGGAATCAGATCCCCATTGCTTCTTGCAGAATAATTTGTGCATTCTTTGTGCATTATTGATTGCTGTCTACTTGGACTATTTTCCAGCATCGCATCACAGATGACTTTTGGCTGAGCGTTATTCCCTAGTTCCCATTCAAATTTGAGAAATTGAAATTATAACAGCAATGAAACTCTTTTTTTTAGGGCCCCTCATGGTCCGATCAGATAGGAGATGCCTGAACCCAGTCAGAACTGGCATGTGTCTGGATGGGCCTGGTGTTCAGGTCCATTGTAACCATGCTTTAACAGCGGCTTTGACTGCCAGTACATGTAGGTCAAGTATATACAGACCGTAATGATGCTTCCAGCACCACACCAACACTCATCGCAGTAAAGTGAGAAGCCAAAGTGAGTAGTAGAAAAAGGAAAAAAAAAAGAAGGAGAGAGGGAGAGAGAGAGAGAAACGAAGAGAAAGAAGAGGGAGGAAATCACGCCGTAGGCGGAGACCGTGTCCCAAACGCGACTTGATTGAAGATAAAAACATGAAGCACAATGATGGCGATGAACTAAGTTCGGTTTCACCTGGCCGCCAACCAGGATCATCAGGGGCCTGAAGTCGGTGCAACGGACATAGTAGGACTGACTTATATCTGAAACCAAGACCACTCGAAAGCACCGGCCACACGTTCACCTCATCAACTCTTCCGAACTCCAAAGAGCCGCAAATCACTACATCCTACAAAAGAGGGGGGGATCGAGACCCACAGAACACTTAGCTATGTGAAAACCAAGGAAAAAGCCGATAGCAAGAGTCAGCGATCTGGATGTACCAAATGCAAAAATGCGCAAATATTTGGGAACAGCAACATGCTTATCAAAGTACCAGACCCAGAGACACTACCGAGCCTACCGTAGAAAAAGAGCCTAATACCACACCGCAGGTGCAAGCTCGAAACTCTACCCAGAAAAAGCACAACCCAAAAAAGCGTCGCTTCGCCCGTAAGGCACCAACAACTGAAGATCAACACACAGCACCGCATACGGGGGGACAGAGACCAACAAAGGGTCAGAGACAGCCGAAGACCCCCCTAAGCAAACAGTTCCATACAGCATCACCAACATACCCCCTACTGCGAGGGTACAACAGGACCCCTTACTTTACCAAAAACCGGATCCTAATTGGTCAACACCTGTAGCCATTCTTCCCAAATTCTCCCTAACTTCCTAGAAAATTTAACCAGCGAATTATCAAAAAACTCATCAGGGTACTCTCTTCTCCAGAGCTCAGATTTCAAAGCGAACAACAGAGGAAAAACCATCCCTTCAAAGGAAGAGTACATCTTTGCCCGATGCCTTGCACAAAAAGGTTTGTTGCCTACTCCAAAACAACACCAGTAGCCATTCTTCCCAAATTCCCCCTAACTTCCTAGAAAATTTAACCAGTGAATTATTAAAAAACTCATCAAGGTACTCTCTTTTCCAGAGCTGAGATTTCAAAGCGAACAACAGAGCAAAAGCCATCCCTTCAAAGGAAGAGTACATCTTTGCCCGATGCCTTGCACAAAAATGTCCGTTGCCTACTTCAAAAATTTCATGGCTCGGGCCTACCGAACCACAATGGCTGGCAGCACCAGCCAAGAAAGAAAAAAAGTGTGCACGCTGGCGGTTGGGAAAAGTTTGGCACACAGCGCAGCGCTTCCAGGCTTGGGTTCACTGGTGGTTTAAACTTTAAACCACCAGTACATACCAGCTATCAGCAGTGGGCCCCTTTCGGAGGCCGCCACAGCGGTCGGCCTCCAAAATTTCAAAGAGGCTCAAAACAGGTTCTCTAGTTGCCTGGGGCCATGTACTGCTGGTTTAAGATCCATTGCATTTAGAAATCTATAAAATATTTAAGGTCGCAGGCATAGGATAACCTTATGTGCGCATTTTCTACAAAGTTGGGCCTCTTGTTTGTAGGACTTGGTATGTTCATTTGTAAATATTGTTTCATCTTTCTTCGATTTAGTGGGATGTCGATCTGTGTCCCACTTTTTTCATGGTCCAGTTGTGACCATGTCTCATACTCAGTTCCACACGGGCCCAGCAGGGCCCGACCAGGTAGGCTAGGGATTAGTAGAGTATAGGGTGTGTCGTTGCGGCCCACAGTAGGGGTCCGTAGGGTCGGTAGGCCAGTTTAGGTGTTACATGCCGAGTTGGGCGATGTACATAATAAACCGAAGATCCGCAATGTGATAAAAAGGACTGAATGGACAATGCAGTGCAAGTAGAGTGCAAGTAGAATCTGAACAAGCAGTGTGCATTCCGATACATACAAGAGTAGTGCTTTATAGCGCAGGGAAGACTTTAGATACAAGTCCTGACCTGGCCGAGACTGACCTCTATCACGTAGTGCAAGATAGCGTAGCAGAATGCTAGATTATCAATGACTAGCCCAATCAATGTTGCAACGCAGACTAAACATACATCATTCTCATCACAAGGTGTGAAGAGACCTGGCGCTATACACAGGAAGAAGGTGCCAGGCCCTGATCATGCACAGACGAAGAGGAGGGGAACAGACGAAGAAGAGGGGGAGAGATGGGAATGTCGTCAACACCAAGTCTTTGTCACAAGTCCCAAATAATCCCTCGTCAAAATGTCTGAAGCCCAAATGTCGAGTCTGGATCCAAATGTCACCAAGCTCTCTCTTTCTCTCGTATTCTGCTGATGCAGTGAAGTCAGGTAGCGAGAGGGTGAGAGGGAGATGGTGGACTGAGAAGAGGAAGAAGAAGAACTCTCTCTCACGTGCCAGGTACTAACCTGTGAAGTTGGCGCTGTGCTGCAGGTACCTCGAAGACGAAGCTGGAGCTATGGCGCTGCAGGTAAGTCTCCCTGGCCTCCGCCCGATCTCTCTCTCTCTAGTACTACTCTAGCTCCTATGGCGCCCAGCGCTGAAGACTACAGCTAACGCTACTAGCGCCCAGCGCTGAAGACTACTGCTAACGCTACAACTACTCCTGCAGCGCTCCTCCAGAGTGCTGCTCCCGAATCCTGAAGACTACCTCCTGTCTTCTGAACTGCACGTGAAGTGCCTGGGAAGTACCTAGGAACTACCTGCCGGCCTGCAGGGCGGGCCAGTCCTATATAGTGCTGGCCCGTCCAGGAGGCTGCTCTTGCCAATGCCACAACGTGCCAGACCCTGGGGTTGAAGCTCAAACAAAGGTTGTCTTGAAAATAGGCCAGAAATGGCCTCAGCTAAAACCCTGGTCTGGTGCCTGAGTTTCAGGGCAGGTCGGTCTTATGAGGGCCTGAAAATGGCCCTCAGTTTCAGGCTGAAAACGCTCAGGGCCGGAAAGGCCCTGATTTAGCCTGAAACGACACAGGGCCCGTAGGCCCTTGTTTTCAGGCTTTCAGGCTGAAACAACACGGGGCCTGTAGGCCCTTGTTTTCAGGCTTTTAGCCTGAAAATGTCACGGGCCTGAAAAGTGGCCCGGACAAGTCCCAGATAATCCCTCGTCAAATGTCTGAAGCCCAATGTCGAGTCTGGATCCAAATGTCACCAAGTCCACTCTCTCCTAGTCTGCTGATGCAGTGAAGTCAGGTAGCGAGAGGGTGAGAGGGAGATGGTGGACTGAGAAGAGGAAGAAGAAGAACTCTCTCTCTCTCATGTGCCAGGTACTAACCTGTGAAGATGGCGCTGTGCTGCAGGTACCTCGAAGATGATGCTGGAGCTTATGGCGCTGCAGGTAAGTCTCCCTGGCCTCCGCCCAATCTCTATCTCTCTCCAGTACTACTCTAGCTCCTACTAGCGCGCAGCGCTGAAGACTACTGCGAACGGTACTACTACTACTGCAGCGCTCCTCCGGAGTGCTGCTGCCGAATCCTGAAGACTACCTCCTGCCTCCTGAACTGCACGTGAAGTGCCTGGGAAGTCCCTATGAACTACCTGCATCCTGCAGGGCGGGCCAGTCTTATATAGTGCTGGCCCGTCCAGGAGGCTGCTCTTGCCAATGCCAAAACGTGCCAGACCCTGGCGTTGAAGCTCAAACAAAGGTTGTCTTGAAAACAGGCCCAAAATGGCCTGTGCTAAAACCCTGGTCTGGTGCCTGAGTTTCAGGGCAGGTCGATCTTACGAGGGCCTGAAAATGGCCCTCCGTTTCAGGCTGAAAAGACTCAGGGCCTGGAGGGCCCTGTTTTAGGCTGAAACGACACAGGGCCTGTATGCCCTTGTTTTCAGGCTTTTAGGCTGAAAACAACACCGGGCCTGAAAATGGACCTCGTTTCAGAAGCAGTATGTAACACCCCCCTCTCCTTATGAAGTCAAGCCGGGTCAAGGGCGAAGCTGACGATCTGAAGGTGGAACCTGGACATGGGTGCGACATGGAGCCGAAGATACCGACTTGCTTTGCATCTTGCGTTCGTAGCGTGCGAGAACATCTGGAGCTGTTGCTTGGAGTTCCGCACGGGTCAACCAACGGTCAGCTTTGTGGGTGCAGTACGCAAAGCGTACAAAGTATTCGGTCGGCCTGTTATCGTAGCGTAGCTGGGAGATGATGTCGTCGACCTCTTGAAAATCGTCCATAGAGGGTGGGTCTTGCGATCGTCGCCCGGGAAAATCGTCATGTTCCGTTGGCGTGTAAAGAGCCAACTTGGAGCAATGAAAGACCGGGTAGACGGGCAAGTGGGGGTGAATGGTGAAGGATGGTCCTTCGGGTGCATCCCCAGCGGGTGCCACAGTCGGTCAGGGCCCCATCCATTTCGGGAGGATCTTGCGAGAGAGATCTTGTTTGAGGCTGAATTCCGCGGCGGAAACCAAACGAGATCGCCGACGCGGAATGGGCAAGGAAGACGCTGGTGATTGGCGTGTTGGCTCATGCGTTGCTGCGTTTTAGTCATCTGGTCGCGTGCCTTGACAAGTAGCTCTTGCATCCGACGCAAGAAAAGAAGATGGTCGTCGCTCTCGGCCGCTCGTGGAATGATTGTGTCCAACGGGGAAGTGACCGGCGAGCCGTGCTCGAACTCGAAGGGCGACATCCCGATAGCTGGGTGGATGGACGAGTTGTATGCCAACTCGACATCCGACAGCCGCTCAACCCAATCCTTTTGGTCGGGACGGATGAGAGTGCGAAGGAGGACCTGAGCGTTTTGATGCACCCTCTCCGTTTGGCCATCGGTTTGGGGGTGGCGAGCCGAACTCGGCTTGAGAGATGAGCCCCATCGTTTGATGAGCGCCAACCAAAACTCGAACATGAACCGAGTGTCGGGGTCGCGGACGATCTCCTTGGGGTAGCCCTTGGTTCGAATCCAACTGGCGTAAAGAACCTCGACCAACTCCGGTGCCTTGGCATGATAGCGGCAAGGCAAAAACATGGCGAACTTGGTGAGTCGGTCGACCACCGTGAGAATCCCATCCACACCGGTCTTGTGCTTGGGGAATGGCCCGGTAATGTCCATGGCAATCACTTCCCCTCGGAGCAAGGGAACAGGTGATGGTCGCAACTCGCCGTACAGATGATGGTTGCGGGATTTGCAGCATCGGCAAACCTCTCATGACTCGCAATAGCGTGTGACGTCGCTGAGAAGGTCGGGCCACCGAAAGTGCTCGCGAAGTTGGCCAATCGTGCGATTGACTCCAAAGTGTCCGGTGGCGGTAGCATCGTGAAACTCGCCAAGAAGCTGTATACGCAAGTGAGAGTCACTCGGTATGCAAAGAAGGTCCCTCCCCCACGTGTGGACAAGCAAGTACCCCTCTTGGATCCGGTAGTGAGCAGGCGCCAAATTAGGAGAGGAGCAATTCACGTACTTGTCCCGAAACTCGGGTCGGCTTGGTAGCTGCGGATGAAGCTGTTCCGTAGGTCGTCGCCGTTCTCGAAGGTGGAATCGATTGCGGAACAATGATTCGGATGTCGTGAAAGAGCATCCTCAAAACGGTTAGACTTCCCCGGAATGTGATAGGGAAAGAAGTCGAATTGGTCGATGAAAGCCATCCAACGGGCGATGGTGCTATTGACGGTGTCTTGGGTCTCGTAGAAGACCAACAAATTGTTGTCCGTTACCCATCGGAATTGACTTCGACCAAGGAGGAAGTGCCTCCAGCGATTGAGCGCGTGGACGAAGGCTAGGAGCTCCTTCTTGCGTGCATCATCAATGGAGTGCACAACGGGCACTTTCTTGCTGAAGTACTCGATTGGGTGCCAGTCCACACCATCGTGTTGTTCGAGGACGGCACCAATGCCATAGCCAGACGCATCCGTAGTGACGCGCGTTGGCAATAGCGGGTCGTATATGCGCAAGACCTCCACAGATAATAGCGCGGCTTTGAGAGCTAAAAATGATTCCTGCGCATCCTCTCCGAAGTCAAACGGCTGATCCTCACATTGAAGCTTGGTCAAGTGGGCCACAATCTTCGAGTATCCCTTGATAAAACGTTGGTGGTAGCCGGCAAGGCCAAGGAACGAACAGACATCTGTGACGTTCTGCGGCACCGGTTACTCTTGGATGGCTTGAATCTTGTCCGACAACGGACTGATGCCCTCCGATGTGACAAAACAGCCCAAGTATTCCAGCGATTGCCGAGCAAATTCGCACTTGTCGTGGTTGGCTTTGTACTTGGCGCAGCGGAGCGTCTCCAAGACTCGTCGAAGGTGCTCGAGATGATCCTCCAATGTACGGCTATAGACGAGAATGTCGTCTGAGTAGACCAGCACGAACTAGTCCAACATTGCACAAAACTCTTTGGTCATTGTCGCTTGAAAGGTCACGGGGGCGTTGGTGAGGCCAAAAGGCATGACCACCCACTCAAAATGTCCATACCGCGTCTTGAACGCGGATTTATAGCGATCGTTCGGCCGGATTGAAATCTGATGATATCCCGACTTCAAATCCACAACTTCGAAAAATATTGTGCGCCACCCAAATGCTCAAGAAGATCGTCGATACTAGGAAGAGGCCCCGCATTCTTGACGGTTTGCGCGTTGAGCTTGCGGTAGTCAATGCACAATCGTAGATCCTTGTTCTTCTTCCGTACGAAGAGAACTCGTGCTCCATATGGGAAGTTACGAGGGCGGATCCAGCCCTTGTCCAACAAGTCATTGAGTTGTGCGCGGAGGACCGTAAGCTCCTCCTCGCTCATGCGGTAAATGCAACCTTTCGGCGGCACGACACCGGCCTCAAGAATGATCTCGTGAGAGATCGGCCGATCTGGCACCACACCGGTAGGTGACTCAAAGATGTCGGCGAACTCGTCAAGCAACCGCACCACACGGGTGTCCGAAGACAAGTCTGTGGGTGAAGAGTCGGCTACTGCGATGGTCCATAGGAAACATAGGTCTATTTCGCCGGGCTGCTCGTAAGCACAAGTAGCCCGGAATGACTTGGCCGTCACCACTTGGCATCGGATCGAAGGGTGCGGAAGAGGAATAGTACATGGCACTTCGGCGCCGAAAGCGTCGCGAACGGTAAGAGTCCGCCGGTGGAAGTTGACCGTGTTTATCCGCACTTGCAAGCCAAGGCATTCCCAAGATAACGTCGAAGTCCGTGTCCAAAATGTCAAACGTCACCGGTTCGCATGCTGAGGTGCGAAATACACCGGTACGGCCTCGATGTAGCGGTCGATAAGTTGCTGCGTCCTTCCGTCCGCCAACTTGATCGTCGTCGGGTTTGCCTTCCTTCGAGTTTGTGTGCCAAGGCCAGCCCTTTGCATAAAGGCTTGGCTCATGAAGTTGCAAGACGCGCCGCTATCCAGCAAAGCACTGCAGGACGCTTGCCCAACTTGGATGCGGACATAGAGGAGCGGTGCGTTGTTGTCATCGTACCGCTGCTTGCAAAACTCGTGGGCCACCTTGGTAACATGCGCAAGGATGTTCCCCACCGAGACTTTGTCATCCGTCGGCGAAGTTGGTGGTGCATAGAAGGATAAGTACGTGTGAAGATGAGTGCATAATGCTGCGCATTGCGGTTCCAGCAAGCGGCCCGTGGTCGGGAGAGGAAGCCATGCGAAATCCTCGGACGTGAGTGAATCTAATACCTCTATGTTGAACTCGCGCGCCGAATCTCATGAAGAACGACTTGAAGACGATAAGTCACCGCTGTCGGACGGAGAAGATGCCGCACACACGTCTTGTCCTTTTTCATGAGTACCCAGCATAGGAACGAGCCGGGCAGTATAGTCCTCATAAGAATACAGAAGAGGACTATTGACTTCCGGTCGTGAGTGTCGTGGAGTCACCCACGAAGCGACTGGTTCCGAAGGCGTCGAGAGTGTCGTGGAGTCACTTCCGGCGGTGCTCAGTTTCCCGATTTGCCTTTGCCTCTCGATGGGCAGCCCACTGTGTCGTGGAGATCGTTGTTACACCATAGACAAGAGCGAAATCTCGTGCGCGCCTTGTACACCAGTTCGGAGAGACCATAGTGGGACCATGGGGCTGGAGCTGCTGCGCCGGGCCCGGGGCTAGATGCGGTGTTTGTCTTCGTCTTGCCGCGTCCTCGGCCTTTGCCGGGGCGGCCACCATCCCGGGCGGCTGCGAGTCTGTCCCCTTCATTGGCAGACACGGCCTCGCTAAATTGGTCGCGGCGTCATTGGCAGACACGGCCTCGCTAAATTGGTCGGTTGGCGTTGCCGCCGCGACCACGGCCACTTTCGGTCGATGCTGATCTCTGCTCAGGCTTGTCGCAGACGAACGGTGGAGGTTCTTGGCCTCCTTGTTCGTGACAATGATCTGTGCGGCCTTGTCGAAGAGCTCCGCCGTTGTCGTCAAGGTGTCCTCGACGTGAGTCAAGGCATTGCCCAATGTCGGACACGACCTCGAGATGTAGTGTTTGACGGCCTTGAAGCCCATTTGAATGTCAGGGACGGATGTCAAGCGTTGGCACTTGGCAATCCAGTCAACACTCGACAGCGTGCCTTGTTCGAAGGTCATCAGCTTGTCCATTGCCTTGATCTCCGGTGGCTCTACTTGGAACCGCTTATGCCACGCCACCTTTAGATCATCCCAACTGATCTTGGTGTGCAAGTCGGCAGCCACCACTCCGTCCTTGGACAAGAGATTGTCCAACCATGCTTGGCACGCGCCTCCCGACCGGGAGTATAAGTACGCGTGATGCTTGTGTTCGCTGACGTGGTGGAGCTTCAACTTGAGCTCGAACTTGCGGAACCATGGAATCAGGTCCGTCTTCGTCAAGTCGCAGAAGATCTCCTGCCCATCAAACTTTGGAGTTGTCTCGCGTGGTTCCAAGCTCGAGTGGGTGGCGGCAGTACAGATCCGCTGCTCCAACTGTTGTGTTGCGGTTTGCTGTAACAGCACGCCGTCCTTGAGGGATCCGACGTCAATCTCCAATGCCTCAAGGCGATCGGAGGTGTTGGAGGAGCTGGCATCGGGGGCGGCGACGGGTCGTTGCTCCAGCTGCTGGAGGCAGCTGCTGACTTGAGCTAATGCATCGTCGAGGCTGTGGATATCCTCCTGCTGTGTAATGCATGTTGCCAGGAGATCCGGGAGATGGGAGAGGAGTAGAGCGATCTTGTTTTCACTCTCTTTCATCTTACCATTCTCGGCCTTGGCCCGCCAGTCCGCTGCCATTGTGAGCAAATCTCGCTCCCCACTGAATATCTTCTCGCGTCGTTGAATTCGTTCTTCATCGGCAGCCTTTGCTGCTGCCTTGTCGTGCTGGCGCTGCTGTTCGATTGCCAACAGACGTGCCTTCTAGGCGTCCTCTGACTTCTTCTTTGCTGCGGCTGCTACTGCATCCGACTGTTGCTTGGCTTCGGTAATCAGAAGCAGCATCCGGGCCTGATAGGCCTCGTCTGTTTCCCCGGACTTCTGGTCCATGACGGCTGTTCGAGAGCGCGTGAGCATAGACCAGGCCGGGGGCCTGCTGACGTGGTACTCCCTTCTGCTGATGTGGCACTGTTGTTGGCTGACGTGTCCTGCTGATGTGGCCTGCTGATGTGGCCTGCTGACGTGGCCTGCTGACGTGGCAACTTACCAATGTCGCCGCAGGGGGTACCCGGAGACCGATAGAGAAGATAAGACCAGAGGGGGCCACAACATAGGTGGGGAGAGGTGGGTGGGATAAATCGCCCAGATAAGGAGCCACTAATCAAAAGAAGAAGAGTTTGAACTTTGCCAAAAAAAAATTGAGGAAAAGAAAAAAAAATACTCGTTTGCAAGTTCAGTAGGCCTCCCAATCCCCCTGAAGTGTGAAATTACCCTGAGGAAAAAAATTCGAACTTTCAGAGTGCAAATGATTGTCCGATAAGAGAATTCCGAAAATAATACAAAACAAATATTCAGAATTACTCAGATGAGAGTACGCGCAATTTGGAAAATGGTAACTGCAAGAGGGATTTCCCTTACCGTTTTTTTTTTTCAAAACGAATTTCGGAAAAAAATATTCCGGATTTCAAATAACGGAAAATTGCAAAAGGAAATCGAAATTTTCGAAAAAAAGATATTCCAGATTTCCAACAACGAAATTTTGACTTTTTTTAGAAGAAAAGCAAAAACGGAAATTTCAGGTGTTGCGCTATTGCGATTTTCCACAACAGTAATAGCGGGAAAACAAAATCCAAGAAAAGAAAACAAAATGCGATTTTCGGCAGTGAGGTCAAAATCGTGATTTTGGGGGCTAACTAGGGTTCTCTAATCAACCAATCAAGACTAATCAGCTACCTCGTCCCTCACACGTGTCAGATCAGGTTGTCCTGATTCACGTGCGGTGTTCCGATACCAACTGTTACATGCCCAGTTGGGCGATGTACATGTATAACCAAGGATCCGCAGTGTGATGAAAAGGACTGGGTCCAGCCTCAGTCCAGCATTGAGTAGAGGATTGAGTAGAGGCTCTCTTCGGACGACACCAGGGTAGTAGTCTAAATAGGACTTAGAGCAGCGCAGGGAGAGGAGAGAGACTGTGGCGGAGGCCAGGGGACTTACCTGAGACTTACCTGCGACGCCATTGCCCCAGCTTCGTCTTCAGCACATCCGTACCTGCATCAAGGCGCCCCCTTGCGCAGGTCAGTATCTGGTACACACACGCAGAGAGAGAGAGAGAGAGAGAGAGAGAGAGAGAGAGAGAGAGA